GCTACGCCAGTCAGCGGTAATGTCTGCCGTATTGAAACCAATCGGCTGCGACAGTACAATGCCCATCACAAGAAGAAGGTACGGTAGGTTCCATGTGCCGTCACATCTTGTCCTTTCTTCTCGCTAATGGCCTTGCCGACTGTTTCATTGCCTTCAGCTTCCTCCAGGCTTGTCAACAATCACCTGAACAGCACAAGGCATTGCACATAATGGCTGTGTCACTGCTGCGAGTGTCTGGCGTTGGCAGTTGCACTGTTAAGCCGCGGTCGTGTCCCAGCAATCACGCTAGAGCACTCTGCCTGACGATGATGATCACCATAACGATGATGATGATGCTAATGGCTGAGTGTAACTTGATGACCTTCTAATGCTATCCAATGAATGCATGAGCGAAGCCACGCATGAATTAATAACAATTATTATCTTGCTCACCCACTCAAACCAATATTAGACTTAATTTAGCACACGACTTTAAAATTAACTCTAAACCTAAGGGTGCGTTCATAAATCCTCTCCAAAAGGTTCGAGACTCTCCAAAGCTCTCCGAGCTCTCCGAACTTCAGTGGTGGTCGAAACTTGGAGATTCCCGCGTTTCCGAGTCAGCGCATGCGAACGACTGCAAAAGCCACGTGTTGATCATGAGTGTACAACATTCCCTTTCCGCAGATGCACTGTGCGTACTACATTCATGTCACTCAAGATTGTGGCCTCTTCGGCGCGGCGCATGTGCAAAAGATCTCCGAATTCTTCGAGACCCATTCCTAAATTATCCCACTTTCTCCCTACTTCCAGGAGAGCCTTCTCCGAGGAGCTAGAGAAAATAAGAACGCACCCTTAAGCCCGATTCATACTTCGTGTCGCGTGCGGGAAACGCGTCGCGTCGCGAAAAAGTTGATCTGAGCTCAACTATTTCGCGTACGGGAAACCCATCGCGCGACGGTCGCGCGATGGGTTTCCCTTACGCGAGATGAAGTATGAATCAGGCTTTAGTGTTCAATCTCCAGACTGCAGGTGTGAGCTGAGCAATTTTCAGCAGCTTTGAGTATGGATCTGGGCAATTTGCATGGTTTTCGTCCGACGTCAATGTTTTGGCATGCATAGCCCCTGCTGCATGGATGCAGGGCATTTAAAAGTCTGTCAGTGCAGGTTTAATGCTGGGCTGGCGCTGGATTGGCCGAGGATGGACGAAACTCAAGAACGCCGAATATGTTCTCAGCTTACAGCAGCTGTGTTGGCCTGGCTAGGTATTTAACCACGTGAGAATGATAGATGCATGTACAACCGCGATGCATGATGATAAGTGATAAGTTAACCCTTTGGAAATGCACTGATCACACGACGTCGGGAGATAGCTGCAATTGCAAGTATATTCGTTCCAATTTCCATCATAACGCTGGTTCTACTTCACCGATTTTGACGATCTTGGGCTCGTTGGAAAGCTCTTGGAACGAGGATAACAGCGCGCCCAAACTCATTCAGGAGAGCGATTGCTGTCTGCTACTGAATGCCAGGAACGCCAGCTGAATACCAAATCCAAACCGGGAATAGTCCTTGTCTCGCCATTTCACTCGTGCTAGCTCAAAATCATTCAAATTTTTTCTAACAGACTCACAAAAGCCGTGACAAAAAGCGCTGGGAGTGATGTCACACGCTGCGTGGGCAGGAAGAGGGAAAATCCCACTTTTGAACGAAATTTGCACTTCGCTGACGCATGAGAAATCGAGCGAACGTTCGAGCACTTGCCGCTCTGTTATACTAGCTTGTATCGACCCCGGAGTTTTTCGAGCCGACAGCTTAGATTCTCTGCTACCTCGTAGGTATTTCGATTGTTGAATTCGGTTGAGATTTGACTTAGTTGTGACTCGTTGAGTGCACTTGCACACATGACATTGGCATCGTTCGAATTCGAACGATCACCTCCAAAGGGTTAAACTAGATAATAATTCTAACACAGACTTCAGCTGATCTAATACGGCTTTTTTAAAACGCACCAGATTTAACCGGTAACTGCACCACTCCACAATGCGCTTTCGGCCGACCCACTTCACTTGCACGTCACCACTTGCACCACGGCCAGGGCAATCAGGCTGGTATCTCGGAGGCGGCAGACCCTCCTCCACCCGCTGCGCGCACCGGCTGATCGAAAGCTTGTGTCCCGAAAAGCCCCGCGCGAATGGCGAATGCCTTACAATCATGCAATACCTGAACTATCTTTGGTTGTTTTCTCTCCATTCCTGGATGATGTAGATCAAAGCTGAGACAAAGCGCGTTCCCCAATCAGCGTCAGGGCACACAATAAGAGGCGTGGCATCATCCCCAGCTCTCTACGTAAGTACTTGTCCGCGACGGTCTGCAGCGATAAAAGTCTCCTGCATGGGCAGGAGTGCTGCAATAAATCATTGAATTGATACTTGATAATGAATGACACTTTTGTTCTAACATGATGGTTGATGGTTTTTCATAAACGCACACAGGTCCGAGTCTCTGAAACAGCCAGTTTAGCAGAGAAAGTGCCAGCCTACAGAACCTCCGAAGGTCCAAACAGCTACCTATTGCTTTGCAGGCAAATGATGCTGTACCTACAGTCCGTTCAGAAAAAGATGAGCGCTGGCTCTGGAGAGCTCCCGTATTTGGCGATTTTGTGGTACACTGTGCAGTGCCACGAGATTTGAAAATTGAAAAAGGGTCCAAAAAGGTACCTCAACTGGGGTTTGAACCGCAAGTGCACTAAGTTATTCTGCAAGAGGAATGAACGGCCTGGATTTTCATGGTTTTTCGCCAATTCAGTGCTTCGGGGCAAAACCTGGCCGAAATCCTATTCTTGTTATGGCTTGCTCTTTGGTGAAATAGACTTCAAAAACACAATTGGAAGGGCATTCCATGGGGGATTGCCAAAAAATTGTGACGAAAACTCAAAACTTGACCCGTTTATGGCCAAAAGCTAGGATATCATCTTTTTCTGAATGGACTGTAAGAGGCCAGAATGACAGCTTACACCAAACATAGGCCATGGCATGGCAGTCGTGTTCGGTCTTCACATAGGCCATGGCATGGCAGTCGTGTTCGGTCTTCTTCATTTTTTTTAAAACAAGTCACGTCGCAATGTCCACCGTTCCGATAAAATGTTGACACCACTTTCCCCAGACAGTCTGTCAGGCTCATTTTTGTTGTGTAGTTTTCATGCTGCAAACTTTCTCGTGCTGGTGTACTGACGTGTGGGTGTTCTTTGCCCGCCGATTTGTGTGCGCGCACGTGTGTGTGTGTGTGTGCGTGTACATGTGTGTGTGTGTGTGTGTGTGTGTGTGTGTGCGTGTGTGCACGCGCCCATGTGCGTTACGTGCGTTTGTCGTTCGTCTGCCCGTCGACGTTCCGCTCGCCGCCGGCCGAACGTAGAGTACGGGCCCCAGTCCGCTAACTCGTGCTGACTCTGTGCCCCTGAAGCCAGCGGCAGGCAACCACCTGCGCTTCCAATGTCCAGGTAGTGATGGCCCCATGCGCAAGGTCACCTCCGATCACACCATGCTGACTGGCACCGGACCCAGCAGCTCTCCGAGTGCCCGGCGGCGAATGGTGTCCAAAGTGGCGGACGCGTTTTCCAGCAAGGTACACAAGAAAGGACCATCGTAGAATTGTACACATCGCGCCGTCCGCCTCTCGCCCGTTTTTCTTCCTGTTTCTTTTTCAGAATGTTTTATTTATATTTCTGTGCCTTATCTGCTGCCGCGGCTCCCTGCTTTCATTCTACACCGTATTTGACTACATCTCAGCGCCTTGCATTCCATCCTCTCGTCTCTGTTTGTCGCGGGAGTCAAGGGAGCACTTATGTACGCTCCCGTTGACGTACACATACATACACATGTGCACATGCATACACATATGCAGGTATTGGATTCTGCGAATGATGCTGCTCCGTGCGAACGTGACTGGCTGCTGCTCTCCACAGGCAGCCGGAATGACTTTTGATCTCGGCGCCTCGCTGCTCAGGCTTCCCTTTGCGACTCCGTGCATGGCTGGGCATTGACGACGCAATTCTCTCCTGTTTCTTGCCCGTATTGCTGCTCACAGACCTGGCTTGGATTTCATTATTTTTTCCCCGCCCCCACCCCCTCCTACCTGGTACACACACACACACACGTTGAGCTCTGTGCCGGAGGTCCATGTAGAATGTATAGGAGCACCCGTAGTGCCCACTCTGTCCTCGTATTTTTTTCCCGGTTTATTTGACAGCGGCCCTACCTATTCCGTGTGTGTGTGTGTGTGTGTGTGTGTGTGTGTGTGTGTGTGTGTGTGTGTGTGTGCATGCTGACGCTCATAACCGTGCTGTTGGCGTTTGCAATAGCAATATTATTCTTATCCGCTGCGCTTCTGCTGCTGCGCCCGGGCCATTTGCAGCTAACATGCAGCTTACCTTTGTTTTTGTTTCTTGTTTTGTTTTTTTCTCTTCTCCCTTCACTTTCAGCTCCTTTTTTTCATGCAAACAGTCGTGTATTGATCATGAGAGACCGTCATAGATATGATGAGATGTACATTCTCCTTGAGACCAATCCTCGCCGTTTCTTGTTCAGTTTGAAATGTGCTGCAGAGCTCTTCACCCGTGTGCAGCCCCACGCTCTCCTTGCCAGGATATCGGGCCTGGCTGCACAACAACTCATGAGGTGGAATCTCATCGAGCAGCATTCGTGCTCCTCGTATCACCCACATAGACCGGTTGCATGCCTAGCAGGGAGTCGTAGCATTGTTTACTTGCAGGGACTGGAATGCAACACCGTGTGGGTTTCGCTCCCAAGCTGTCAGTTCTAGGCAGGGCTGATACAAGCATTTCCGATGTGATGCGCAATTTCACGTCAAATTTGGCATAAAACTCTACATTTCGACGTGAGCTGCACGTCACTCACATTGTTTTTCGACGCGCGAGCCAAATAACGTGAGCTGAACTTTCGCTTCACATCAGAAAAACATGCATCTTAAGCTCTCAAAGGGTTAAATTCTTAACCTCTCTAATCATATACGAGGTCACTGGTCTGGGAACACTGGTTACAAATTAGCCTACAATCCCCTGCTGATTACCAGTGGGAAGAGTATAATTATTAGGGGAGATTAGTACTGTTGCTCTTACCAGTAGGCTTCTGTTTATCCATAGACAAGTATGACCAGCAAGCTCGCATGCAACTGCACTCTGCATGTGAATGTGCAGTATAAAGTGTTGCCTAATTCTTGACGAGCATACGCAATGTAGGCGGACGCTTGGTCCATGCTGAAGTCACTTCATGTTGCGTGCATGCACCTATGTCATGTAATACAAGTATTACCAACCGTACTTCCGCACATACTAAGCGCATGTGCTTATGTCCGTACATAGGCCCCCCCCCCCCCCTAGTTATAAGCGCATGCGCTGATCTGTGAATACTATTGGTGAAACACCCGGGAGCTGAATTTAGCATTGTGATAACACCGTTGTTTAGGACACAGACAAACCTTTATTGCACATATACGCGCGTGGGCTTCTACCCGAACATGTTCACACAGCTTATATGTGCATGGAGAACTAGGGTAGAAGTTGCTGGCAGGAAGTGCGTGTAAGCATGGCTCCCACCAGGCCCCGCTGCACAGTCCTTGCACAACATGCAGACCAAGGAATACTATAAAACTGTATTTTAGTACTCCCTGATGCAGATCGTACCAGCAGTATTATGTCGGCGGAATAGCGCGAGCTCCAGTGTGGGGAGCAAACCCTTTCTTATTATCATTATTATTATCAAATTTTTGATAGGGCGATCCCCACAGACCTAAGCTCTTGATACACGCACTCAGTCCCTGCTCGACAGATCAGCGGGCTGCGTACTCGCGTCATGCTCTGGCGTCTGGATTTTACCACTCCAATCTGTACACACGTCTACACACAGTCTTCTTGTAGTCCTCATTACCGTCCAGCATAACACACACTGCGAGTGAACGTTGAGATCCGTACTGGCACACGCGCGCGGACGTGCCGATAAAATAAATAAAACTGCGACGTTAACAACGATACAGCATCAGCCATCAGCAAAAAGGAAAGAATAAATCCAGGCACATGCGTGGATAATGTCAGCCTGAGAAAGTTCGGTGTAAATGAGTAGAGCCCAGGATAGGTACGGAATTGGTTAGAGCATTGTTTGGGGGATGTCTCAACAAGCTAGGCTGTACTGTAGTAGTCGTAGTCTCCAGTGCAGACTAAAGTCAACAACAACTGCACTAACTAGTTGTTAGTCATGGTTGCTGTATATTAGATAGTAGCTAGCTAGATAAAGCTAGTCAACTAGGGACAAGCAATCGCCGACAGCCTACAGCTCGTCTTTACCGGCTGCTTTCTTGGCTTTCTTGGCCTTTTTGGGCTTGGGCGCGCACTTGCACGCGGTCTTGGGCTGCTCCTGTTTGACCTCCTCCAGGCCCATGCCCTTGCGCACAGTGGGTTTGTAGGCCATGGCGGCGCGATAGCGCTGCGCCACTCGCAAGTAATAGCAGTACACGGCTTCGTTGCTCAGGTGATCGCGCACGAACTGGCGCGACTGCGCGACGATCTTGCGCACACGCTTGTCGTGGTTGCGCGCCCACTTCAGCTGCTCCATGGTGTCGCTGAGGTCGTCCTTGAGCGGGATGTAGTGGACGAACGGCTCCAGATCGGCGTAGAAGTGCTCGTGCCACTTGGAGTCGTGCTTGAACACGACCGAGTCGCCCGCAAGCAGCGTGGAGAGGCGATAGGCGGCGACCGTGCCGTCCAGATTCAGAATGTACTTGTATTTGAAGTAGTCCTCGAACGCCATTCGCTTCACTTTCTTGCCGGCGTGCAAGCGTTTGTCCTTGCGCCGGTCCTCCGGCGTTGGGTAGTAGTCGAAATGGTTCCGGCTGATCTGCGCGTCGATCAGGTTGGAGTTTTCGGCGGCCACGCCGTCGACGAAGTCCACGCGCATCTTGTTGCAGTCGCGGCCACGCCAGATCATCTTGTTCTTCTTCTTCGTCCATCCGCCGCTGGTCTTGTAGCTGAGGCCGTCCATCTCGCGCATGTTCTCCAAGTCCGTCCCGAAGACCGTGCCAAGAACGACCTTGTACGTGGGCACCACGATGTCGTCGGTGTCGTTGGATGCACCCCACGACACGACGGGCAGGCCTTGTGCACTCAAGTTAGACTAGACAAGAGCAAGGCAGAGCAAAGGAAGAAGAGTGCGTGTCAACACCAAAACACACATATGCACTCTCTCCCTCTCTCTCTCTCTCTCTCTCTCTCTCTCTCTCTCTCTCTCTCTCTCTCTCTCTCTCTCTCTCTCTCTCTCTCTCTCTCTCTCTCTCTCTCTCTCTCTCTCTCTCTCTCTCTCTCTCTCGTTCGCAAGGCGGGGTTGTGAGCTTTCATTTCATCTTTTCTTATTATTTCCTATTATTTCTGCTTTTCATCAAAATTCTGAGCATTTTTTCTCCATCTGCGCAGAAAATCTAGACTGACAACCTGCTTGTTAAATCATGCACCTGCTTTCAGGCGTAAAAACCCTGTTGTAGAGGTCTCAGTCCTCATTTGTTAGACTTACCTGTCTTTATAAATGTAACTTACTCTCTCTCTCTCTCTCTCTCTCTCTCTCTCTCTCTCTCTCTCTCTCTCTCTCTCTCTCTCTCTCTCTCTCTCTCTCTCTCTCTCTCCCTCTCTTCCTTCCTTCCTTCCTTCCTTCCTTCCTTCCTTTCTCTTTCTCTCTCTCTCTCTCTCTCTCTCTCTCTCTCTCTCTCTCTCTCTCTCTCTCTCTCTCTCTCTCTCTCTCTCTCTCTCTCTCTCTCTCTCTCTCTCTCTCTCTCTCTCTCTCTCTCTCTCTCTCTCTCTCTCTCTCTCTCTCTCTCTCTCTCTCTCTCTCTTGGTCAATCTCTCACCTGTGGCCAGTCACCCATGTTGAAGAGAAACTCCATATCCGGCAACTTGACACGCCGAGCAAGAGCAAGCCACATCTTGTCGGCATACTGCTTGAAACCTTCGTACTTGCCGTGCACCTTTGCATAGATCTACACCGATACCAACACCATCAGATAAAACAAGGGGGCATGATCAGGATGCGGGGGTGGCCGTGACAGTAAAACACAGACACTCATTTGTGCTTGTTCACTACCAAAATTAGTCACGAACACATGCACACACACACACATACACACACGCGCGCGCCCACACACACACACACACACACACTTAGTCAATGAGCAGTGGCTACCTTTCCATTCTTGAAGACGTAGTGAACAATGGAAGCCTCTCTTTCGTTCAGGACCTCCATCGCTTTGTCAATCATTTCTTGGGTTATGCTGGGGAATTTCTACACAAACACAGCACAACACAACACAACACACAGAGCAAAGTGTTCAACTACCTACTGCCACGTGTAAAGAGAACAGAACAGTTGATTTGTGATTGGTATGTGCCCTGGAAAGGAAGAGAGAGAGAGAGAGAGAGAGAGAGAGAGAGAGAGAGAGAGAGAGAGAGAGAGAGAGAGAGAGAGAGAGAGAGAGAGAGACAGAGAGAGAAGAGATAGAGAGACAGAGAGATAGAGTGAGAGAAACAGAAAGATAGAGAGAGCGACTCACTTACCGCAAAATCAATGTCAATCTGAGTGGCCGACTCACGACAGCCATACTGCTTGGCAAAGTCCTCCTCAGTGGTTGGGCACACACAGCTCTCCACTTCAGGATTCTTCAGCTCATACCGGTCCTTAGTACCAACTACTTCGCCAGTCTTGGTGCGTATCTAACCCACCAAACAATGGAACACACACACAGTTGTTCCAGTTTTAGATCACCACCTGTACTGTTACTTAGGGAGTAAGACCTTTTAACCTGTTGAGCACGCGTGACGTTCTGACACGTCATGACCACTGCCACGGTGACACGCGTGGCGTTCTAGTACTCGTGACGAGTCAGTGCGGAACTACATCGAGTCCCCCGTTTCTTCCGTGGCGTGGTGTCGCGCTGTACCGCTGCACAGAGGACTCCTAGGATGTACGCGTACCGCAAAAAATGCGAGCCGCTCCGTAAGTTTGAACTGGAGTTACATGCGCGTGCATACATTTCAAAATACCAATTTCGCGTAAAACTACCTTTCTGAAAACGGTCATAACTTTTGTAATCTTTGTTGTATTTCCAAAACAAAAACAGTTCTGTGCTCAGGATACATGAAAGAATCGTTTGAAATCAAGTTTGCTCACATAGAGTGAATTAAAATTTTTTTACTGCGTGGCAGAGGTTTTCAATGGGCCCGGGCTCAAAAGGTTAATTGAGTACAGTTACTGTCGGGTGGCGAAGAACTGGGGGGGGGGGGGGTAGCAGCCTGCTAGCCGGGGCCGTTCTAATTTCATGTACTACAGTCTATGCACAGTTGAGTCACTGTGTATACATTGGTATGCTGTGTTTGGTGAATTCCTAGCCGGTTCGTTCTACGGCACCCGAGAGTACTGTAGGGGTCAGGTTGTCCACGTGCAGTGGTTTGGTTCCAGGTTTTTTGCTCCACCACTCGTCTCCTTCTTCCAGTTGACACACGAGGTGCACACAGGAAAGTAGGGCTTTTTGTTGTAACTCAGAGTTTCATGGTGACGACCAATCATCCCTTGTAATTGTCAAGTTCAAAGGAAAAAAGGCAATGGAAATCCTAAATGGTTTGGTCTGTTTGATGAAGAAGACCATTACCGAGTGATCATCAGCATACCCATAGCCTCGACTGGCCTCGCAAGAAGCCCCCTGTGCATGTGTTGAGTGCACTTCCCTGATACCGAACGCTCATGCTTGTACTTTCAATCTGAGCTCTTGCCAAAGCTGTGACCTGCCTGGTTTGATAAACGTCCCAGTGATCTGTCTGCTGCCCGGTTTGATAAACGTCCCAGTGATCTGTCTGCTGCCCGGTTTGATAAACGTCCCAGTGATCTGTCTGCTGCCCAGTGTGATTAACGTCCCAGTGATCTGTCTGCTGCCCGGTTTGATAAACGTCCCAGTGATTTGTCTGCTGCCCGGTGTGATTAACGTCCCAGTGATCTGTCTGCTGCCCGGTTTGATAAACGTCCCAGTGATCTGTCTGCTGCCCGGTGTGACTAACGTCCCAGTGATCTGTCTGCTGCCCAGTGTGATTAACATCCCAGTGATCTGTCTGCATCTCAAGTAGTTACAGATCTTCACACTTTACCTGGCAAGCATATCAGGATTGAGGAGTTAGGCAACTTCCCTGAAGGCAACGCCAATCAGCTAGATAAAGTCGATGGAGAGTCCTGAAGATGGGCCTTGCCCGAAAATTCGAATAATACCTCTTTTTCTTTTAGTGATTGGTGTAGCGTAGAGACCGTTTGGAGAGTGAAGATGTATGGATATGGAGAGCCCAGAGTCTAATTAATTTCCAGAACTACACAGCTTGTCTTCCCCACCCCCTTCCATGGTGACAGTAGTCTGATGTGTGTGTGGGGGGGGGGGGGGGGGGGGTATGTACCCACAGGGGGTTGGTATTGATGGGGCAGATCTAGCCATGATGCCAGATTGACCTACCTCAATGTGCATCTGATCCGGCTGAGTGTTGAAGAAGTATTCGCATTGGTATGTGCCATCGCCACGGTCAAACACCTACATACATGTATACGCACACACACACACAATCATATACACACATGCAAACACACACACACACGCACGCACGCACACACGCACGCACACACACACACACACACACACACACACACACACACACACACACAGACAGACAGACACATGTACATAATAGGTCTGCTGAAATTTGACTTGATCAGGCGCTGCACGGTACTGCCAGTACACGCACTGTTCCGTGCACTGGAACGCGCCGATATACAGTCAACTTCGCTAATAGCGGCTGCGGATACGGCAACGACAATTCGCGAATAACGACAGAATTTCCATGTCCAGAGCAAAGTCCCATCCAACTGTAATACATATAATGAGACTTCGGGTATAACGACACTTCGCGAATCAGGACACTTTTCTGATGCCCCGCCGAGTGTCGACATACGCGAAGTTGACTGTACATTAATTACATCTTTTCTATGAAGTCGAATTTCACTGGCCAGTACTGTCGAAGCAGCATGCTGTTGACCAGCCAGTTGTCTCTAGCCAGTAGTAGGGACCATTCGCACCACGCGTACGGATACGAAACGAACGCTGATTCGTCACCTGGGTTCGAGGATTCGTCAGGGTCCCTGCGGAGAGCTCGTTTTCACGAATGGAAGCCTCTTCATTCGTGGCACGCTCCGAATCCGTCAGGTACACATTTTACTGAAGTATTTGGCCAGGTACACATCTTTCCCTTGATTCCATGATCCATGCACATGTGCGTGTTAACACCCGTACGCCAAGCTACCGGCCGTATTCGTAGTTGCTATGCACATTTGCATGACGACTTGCGAAACCTGAATCTGTTTTCAACGAAACGATTACGAGCCGAATCAAACTTTCGTTTCGCATTCGATTCGTAGCAAGTGCGAAAGGTCCCTAGTGTCAAACCTGCGCGACGACATGATCAATCTCGAAAATGTCAGTGCAAGGAACTGTGCAACCATGAATGATGGATGAATCCGGTGACATCATTTGCAGCAATGGGATTTTTTAAATCATCATTTTTATGTCATAATTGTACTAATATACTACTATTATCTCTGTTTTGGGGTAAATAATAAACTCACCTTGGTTTTCAAATGCGAGTATCGACCATCAGACTTCATGACCACAGTGAATCGGAACGCATCGCTTCCAGGAGACGATGTGTAGTTCTTGCCCTTGTCATCCACAGCCTGAACGAACACGTATCTCGCTGGCGAGACGATTCTCGGATTCAAGCCTGGTCCATAAACGATTGACTTCTTGCCAGAAATGTTTACTTTCTTGGCAGCACAAATACATGCCAGGGCAAGAGCCAGCAGAAATACTGCGGCCCGCATCGTGTCTTCTGCTCGCCAAGAAATAATTCCGGGCTCCCAGAAACTTTCAACAACACTCGACAGTGAAGTGAAGCTTCCTGAGTTCCTCACTTCTTGCATAAGTTGCAATCGTGGTCCAAGTAATTTTTTTGGAAAGCCAAAAGAAAATCACTCAAACACCTTCGAGTATGACATCATGATTGCTGCTGACGTGAAGTTTTGTGAACGAGGGAGTCGAATTTTACTTTCTAATTTTCCTCACATCGCTGTCCAGGGCAATCTTCTTGTAAATGGAAGTGCTTCTGTTACTAGCGTTAGTTGGGCGGACTGGTTGAGTTGGCATTGTATGGTGTAGTTTTTATGTATCTGTAGCGTCTTGCAGAATCGTTTTGTCCTGCTGCCTTGCGAGTTGTCATAATTATGGATCGACCTTCGTTGAATTAAAATTTCAATAGTTTGTGATCGACGTTGCATGATCTATAATCTCAATGAAGACTCAACGGACATGAACGGAGGTGAACGGAGGTGAAGGGAGGTGAAGGTCAGAAAACTGCGATTTTTGGCAGTACCTGCATTTCATTCATCTATAAAATAATAAACTGTTCTTGATGTATAATTATCAGGAACAGTAATAAATAATAATCAAAGTCTGGGGCTGCTGCTCCTGCTGCTTATGGCATAACATTGACAAGTGTTCAGTATGTATGAAACTCAGCAGGCCACCTGTGCAGTGTTGGTAGAGATTCAAGAGGGCAAATAATAATTGCCAGCGGCCGGGGATGCCATATGATCGTATCTTGGATGTTCACTGCAAAGCACCCGTTGAGGCCGAGGTTGGTCTGCAGTCTTCATCCAAGACAGTAGTAGACATGGATAGCAAGAGGAAGGAGTTAGTTGTCAGTCTCGTCTCTGACTGGCCTCGCTTTGGAGACGATGCACAGAATAGAATCCACGCCGCGGTTGGTTCGCGTATGTACGGGGAACGGCTGGAGTTGGATCTGGGTCGGACGCACGTGGGCACACTGCCGAGGAGACAGCCGGTAAGCAGCACACTTCCTACCGGTATGTTGGATTGGTGTTGGTATTATAATTTCACACATGGCGCTGAAAAGGTGGAACAGCAAGATTATTGTAGATTTGCGTGTTATGCCATGCAAAGCCGGCATCCAGCCGAAGTTAACCTACCGTTTTGAACTGGAATCTGTGATGTACTAAACTAACAATGTTAGTTTTAGTACATCACAGATTCCATCAAATCGGCTGCGTAGGCTGCCAAAATGTCATTTTTTTACACAGCCGATTTGATTTCCCTGCCTGCGCATGTGCCTATATCCGGGCGCAAGCGCACCCTCACGTACACTGTAGAACGGGTAATTTTAGCGACGTAAAAACCCTAGCGAATTTAGCGATTTACTCATTTTCGCTAAAGTTTCAAGTCGCTAATCCGTTGAGACATTAGTAGTGCACTAGTGATCCGTGAGTAAAATCGCTGCAAATCGCTAAAATTAAACGTCGCTAACCGGTTGGCAATGGGAAAACGCTTTTAAATTAATACATGTAAAGTAAGTAAATTATCGTATCCGTTCCCGAAGGGAACTCACGACGGCCGCTAACACCCGATAAACCCTAGCGGCAGATGCAGCGCCTAACGGTGGGGGTGAGTGGGCAAGTCTCACAACCACTGGCACAAGTGCCAAAAACGACCCCATTAGCTGCATCCATGTACCCCTTGTGCCTGGCCACATGTAGTCGCTAAAATTACCCGTTCTATAGTTAACGCATGGGCTTAAAAGTGAACCCAATCCCACGACACTGACGTCACCATACCATCTTCACAGGATTTAATGTGCAATTTCCAACTTCCACACTGGGAACTGAATTACAAGCGCGCATGTGCATAATTATAATTTTATGTGAGACCGTAGTAATGTGGGTCACTACGGTCCCACGCTCGTATCGTATTTCCAGGGATTCGTTTACACGAGGTTCCCAGGTATTGGTTGAAGGTGTACATGACGCCGTGGTTAGCGCCGACAGTTGACGGATACGAAGATGCACTGCGCCGATGAGACATTTTCAAGTACCATGCAACATATGCGCACACCACTCCCCCCCCCCCCCCCCCCCCCACACACACACATGCAGTCCAGCAAGGATGCATGTGGTGACACTTGCTGAGCTCAAGGCAAGGTAACAACATTATATGTGTGAGACTGGGATTATACAGCTGACAAGATGAAGAATTCAGACATTATTGTCAATACTCATTCCATTAAAAAAAAAACACTTAAAAAAAAGATGCGCCCAGCTTATGTCGGGAATTTGGCTGAATAATTTTACGAAATGAGCCCCAGCCAGCAGAAACCTGAACATGTGTAATTTTTTCAAAAATTATTTTTTCCCTCGAAATTGTTTCTACACTATTAATCATTCAAGTTATCAAGTTTGGTGACAATCTGATAAGCGAAAGCATGGAAAATAGAGTTTGAAGTCAGAGAGGTCAAGATTCGGTACAGTTGGCGCAGCATCCATGCCTAGTGACTCCATGCAAGTTCATCCTACAGTTTCTGATTGTGATGTGGAACAGGTACATGTAAGTAAATAGAATGCAAGTCAGGCTTGCCCTCTTGGTGCTGCAGCCTGTGCAGGCATGAGTAGTTCAGAAGTCACAGTGACGATATTCCGTATACATCACTACCTTCTTTACAACACCAGAGTGCAAAACGATGATTGGTGGCTGGCCTTCCAAATTGTGTTCAGGGACCTCTGCGCTGGCAGTTTGGGCGTTGTCCCAAAGCTTGCCATACTGATAGATGTACTGATCAATACTACTGACATCCACTCCCTTGCACACTTTCACTCAGACCATGATTTCAGCATAATTGTATTTCAATGATATGAGCGAATGCTCGCGTTTTGTAGCACGTGAACATGTTGCCCCAAAGCGTTCAGCCGGTTTGAGTTTTTAGGGATCCCCTTTCTCAACACAGGCAGCAGCCAGCTTGGTGTCGTCTGGCAAGGTAGAGTACTGAGAATACTACGCTCTGTTTTGCGCCGTGAGAAGCCCTCCATCAGTGTCTGCAACATCATTGTTGTCGATGTAGAAATACGGATCGCTCAGCGGGTCGACATTCAGCTTCTCCTCGCAGTCGCTATTTCTTCAGCACTGACTATCGTCGCCACCAGTATCCAGTGTCGATTTTATGAGGGCTCTTCGTTGCTATGCATATGACACTCGCCACTGCTGGACAAACTCAGCGAGATCGCCAACAAAGAAATAATTCCGATCGCGAACTAACTTTCAGCGCCGCTTCGTACAGGGAGTCTCACGCTGACAACTCTGGACCTAAGTCTTTGTCGCGACACCTGTCGCCATCGCTGTGTCTAAACTCAACCTCCGTGTGACGAGCTCTCACCTAGCGCTAAAATCAATTGACCAGAGACATTTGAAGACACTTGAAACTCCTTTGACAACAAAGACACCCACTCGATTGAAAAGAATCTTCAAAAGCCAGCTCACTGCGCGTCCCAAACTTTGACGTCACATTTTGATGATTGATATCAAGTACACAAGTGCTGGTTTTCGCTGGCCGGGGCTCAAATAGTAGGGAGCATGTCAGCACGATACGTCATCAACATAATTATTATCAATATCATGCTCAAGATCACCGTATGAGATGGTACTGAGCAGTCTAATCCAAACTCAGAAAGTTGACATAGCACAATGCACATGGCCAAGCAGTGTCCGTAGCATTGGGCAGCGCGCACATGACATCATGTGTTCTTGTACTGTACAAGCGTAGGACGTGATTCACACAGCCCAAACACACGGGCACGCCCACACACACACACACACATACACCCCCCCCCCCCCACACACACACATGCACGCATGCCCACACAAACTGGCAGGTTTGGGCATAAAACAGACGGTAGAAAGGCAGGCAAGCCCAACCAAATAGCAATGGACTCCGCTAATAAGTATCAATTCCGGGCACGGTACAACACGCGTAGCCATCCGCAACAGCACTCCATGTGGCCGATGCTGCGTGTCTTAGCCTGCCTTGCGAGCGACATTCAGCTTTGTCAGCCAGGACGTCTTGGCACCGGTCTTCGCCTCTCGCTCCCACGAGAGCTTGTAGTTCTCCTCCTCCGTATTGAACGCCGCATTGTTGATGGTGTAGCGAACCCATGGCCGACTGCAGTGGTGATATTCGCCAGCCGCCACTTTGTAGCGTTCCAGCTCCGACTCCAGAGAGGAGAAACACGTCGGTGCTACTTTGTTATCCTTGGGTTTGAGGCTGGGTCGGCGATGATGTTTGTTTGCCTGCACCGGTGGTGCCTTGCTGCGAGACTTCGGCGTCAGAATGGCGATGATGCGCTCGCGCAGTCGCGGGGCGTTCGCCCGGGACAGAATGTTTGCGGTTGTGAGCGCCGCGGGCCGATCCGCGTCGCTCCGCTGCACGTTCCCCGCTGCCGCACCGACGTGCGGGTTGACCACGATGCTGGAGTCGGTCTTGCGGCGCTCCAGCTGACGGCGCGGCACTGGTACCTGTAGCTGATGTATGGCCTCGGAGGTGGACTCGGCTTGAGCATTGCCATCATCCTCACCGGCTGCTCGCTTGGCTGGTGAGGTTTCAGCGCTACTATCGTCACTGGCCGGTTTCGCCAGCGCAACCGAAAGATACGAGGAGCGTTGCCGTGACAACGACATGTGCTTGGTATCGTGGGCAAAGTGAGGCGAGGGCGGAACGGACGTGGACGACGATGAGTCGCTCTTGGTGAACAGCTGCAGGCTGGAGTTGCGACGGTGAGATTTCTTCTTGTCGCCACCGCTGCTGCTGCCCGTTTGTTCCCGTAACTGGTGTTTGTTCATGCCGGACGCGACACTGGCGGTGCTCTCTCTCGACGCCGTGCGTTCCAGCGGTGCTCGCTGAGCGGACGTACTCCGGCTTTCATCTCCGGACGCTTCGCGGCTGTACAGAAACCCCCGTCCGCTGGTGGGCGATGTGACGCCGGAGTTTGAGTTTGAGCTGGAGCGGCGTGACACGGTGAACTTGTCCAGTCCAGCACTGCGTCGCCTGGTCGGCTGTTGTACGGACAGATCGAGAAGACTGGACGTCACGTCGATGGCACGCTCCTGGTAGCGCGGCTTCTCCGTCTCCGTGGCAACGTCCGATGTCGCCTGCTGCGCGGTCGCCGACGTCGCCGTCAGCTCGCTGGTCGTGTTGCCGTCGGTGACGGTGATCGTCGTCGTGGTCGTCAAGGCGACGGTGCGATGTCGGAACGGCGAGTCCATGCTGCTGTTGCGCGAGTGCTGGGTGCGCTCGCTGCCCGTGCAGTAGGCACTGTCCTCGCAGGTCGGTGACTGGAAGCTAGTCTCGCTACTCTGGTCCCCGCTCTCCGTGCGCTCCTTCATACCGTTATGGCCGCCGCCCCCGCCATCGCCCTGCTCCCTAGGATTCTCCCTTGCTCTGCCACGCTCCTCCCTCGTAGATCTCCCGGGTTCTTCTGATGGAACCTCAGCTGCCATGATCGAGGCATGCTCATCTTTACCGGGAGAGTCAGGCGCGTCTGTGCCTGTATTGTCCGTTTCTTCCGTGGCCAGGATCGTTGGCATGAGCACAGGGCTCAATGGCATTGTCGACGGTAGTATCGGAGTGTCGAAATCAGGACTGATGATTATGCTGTCGCTCATATCCTCCCACTCGTCATCATCGTCATCCTCGCCATTCTCACCCAAGTCCATCGGCCCCGTCCTGGAGGTCCGGGGCAGTGGGACGGGCATGGTCGGGTTGGGAGAGCATGCCCTTGTCGGGGATGCAGATCTAGCTGCGCTGGCATCCAGGCTGGACGGCACAGGCGTAGAAGTGCCAGCTGTACTGACCGATGAGCTGTGTCCTCTGCTCCCTTGTGCCGACGCTGGTGACGACGACCCATTCTGCGGGGGTGTTCCCGCCGAGAGCAGAGCGGAATCGGCGTGATTCACTGTTGCTGCGCTGCGTATTGTGCCAGGAGCCAAGTCACTGGGGTCTTCATACCACGGACTAGCAGCACCATCCAATTGACCGTCACTAGCAGGCGCATCTACATCGAACGTATCGTTATCGGCGGAGACGTAGATCGGAGTGCGCTGCCGTGGCCTATCACTGACATGCAGACCCTTGTGCAGCAGCTTCTTGTGGCTGATGGCGCTCGCCGAGTGTACGTGTCGCGTGCGCCGCACACTCGAGCGCGAGTTGCTTCTGCGACGCAGGTCCCGCTGTGAGCCGGTGAGGCTGGGTGTGAGGCGCGACGGCGTATTGGGACCGGAGTGCCGCGAGGCCTGCCGCAGGTCACGACTGCTGCCGTGCGCGCTGCTACTGTGTGTGAGGTGGTGGTGCTGGCGGGAGCTGGGGCGCTTGATGTTGCGACGCGACATGCGGGTCGAGGCTCGGCGGGTGCTGCGGCGCATGCTGCGATTGCGCAGCTTGTGTTGCAGCTTGCTGAGCGCGTCCACCTGTGCACCAACACACGCATGTGCGGACACAACGACACACACACACACACACACACATGGAAACACACATACGTCGATCAACCACACGGTTCAACGAGAAAGGAATTAGCACATACACAGACACGGAAACAGAGAAGCGGATGGACAGCCACACGCACGGCCACACACACGCACACACACGCACACACACACACTCGCGCACACACACACACACACACACACACACACACACACCACACACACGCACACGCACACACACACACACACACACACACACGCACACACACACACGCACACACATACACACATACACACACACGCACACACACACACACGCACACACATACACACACACACATACACACACACGCACACACACACACACATACACACACACACACACACACACACACACACACACACACACACACATACACATACTGTACCTGAGCATTGAAAGCCAACATTGGACCCTACTTCATTCCTAAGTTGAAACCTTCATTTCCAGTACTAGCGGTAGCAAACACTGTTGAATGCATGTACTGTACTGCTGAATGAAATCCAGTCGCGTCACTCAAGCTTGTGCCTTGCAACATTACGCAGCCCAGTGTTCGCAGGTCTACGGCTGCGCTAGGACAGGAAATGAGTTCAAGTAACACAAACTTCATACCTGCACGACTTGCGTGAGAAAGACTCCAAGGAAAGGAATACACGGAGGTGACTCCATGGCGTCATCCATGCACTTCCGATAGATAATGTAGTTGTTCTTCTCCGTCATCACCTCCGACAGCTCGGCAAACCTCCTAGCAACAGAAGGCAAGAGAAGGATGCGCGCACACAAGCAGGCACAGTATTCTTTGTCAAAACTCGAAACGTATCAATGGTTTGAAATTTGCTCCCCACACTGGAGCTCGTGCTATTCCTTTTCGAACAAATCATCACAGAAGTCGCAACCACTATTTCGTATCAATGGTTGATTACTATGGTGGTATCAATGGTGGTACAGTGAAACCTGCCCTAACCAGACGCCCTTGGTGCAGTGGACACTGTCTTGGTATGACAGGATCCCGCTTGATCCATGGATGAACGTTTGATCCACAACCTTTGGGTGCATGAACCTTTGTCCGGTCAATGCAGGATTCCGCTTGGTACAGGGTCCGGCAAACACAGGGTTTACTGTACCTGCAAAAGGTTTTATTTCTGCAGGAAGCAGCAGACTGCGAAACAGCAATCAGCCGGTAATGTGAACAAGGCATTCATGTACACACGGGGAACTAACTTGCTCTTGTTGTTGCTGACTTCTTTCCAGGTCTTGGTGAGTCGGAACATCGGCGTACACTGCAAGCCTGCCAGGATAGCCTTGAGCGAGTTGAAGTTGTGCAGTTTGAGGCACTCTTCTGCCACCTGCATAACACAAAGAGATAAAGACAAACCCAAAAATAAGAATAGGTGACGCGAAGACAGCAATTTCAGAACAGCAATAAATAAATTAATAATATAAGCACCACAGTCATCACCAGACAACATCGAAGTCTCAAAATGTTTTGTGGCAAAGAATTTTTCAGACTTCGATGTGTGGTGATGACTGCAACATTCTGCGTCCACCCAGAATTTTCAAGGGCCGAGTGCTGCTGCTTACTTTCTTGTTATGACTGCAGCACTTATACAGTTGCGCTCGGTGAAATCCGGCCCGAAGTGCATAACTGGCGCCCAGTACTGATGCGGCCCTTGACGCCCTCAAAGTTGTACACGTGCTAGTGTGCGCGTGTGCCGTATGAACTGTGCATGTGCTGCACTACTCATACGCACGCATGCTTACACCAAAGTGTAAAAACCGCGCCAAACAAAGACAACTTACGGTGTAACATTCATTTCAGTTCAGCACAAGTAAAGAAGACGGAGATCATTTCGAAGCAGTTTATTTCATACACAGAACAGCAGGGCTTCAATATTTTGTATGGCCACCGTCAGCTTCGATTAGGGCTTCAACACGACGTGACATTGACTCCACGTATGGGGAAACCGTGTCAGGACCCAACGAGTCCCACGCCAGGTGCAGTGCCTGCACCAGCTGGTCAGCATTCTCGCAGCGATGTGGAATTATTCTCTTCTTGAGAAGAGCCCACACATTCTCGTTTGGATTCATGTCCGGCGAGCAGGGAGGGTGAAACAGGATGTTGGGTACTCCGCTATCGAGAAGATCCTGCTGTGCTTGAGTGAAGTAAATGAAAGAAATTTTGAACTGTTTTTAGCATGCAACACGTGCACTCCGAACTTTTACACGAGGTGCGTACAGTTGAGTTCATACACACAAATCGCCAGTGATGTAATGGGAGCTGGCTTCGCGGCGCCGGCTTTGCACTTTGGGCCGGATTTCACCGAGCGCAACTGTAATATCATTTAGAAAACATATCGGAAGAAAAAGGAAAAAAGATCCTGGCTTGGACATGCATCAATCTGCAGACAACATCACATCCGATCTGCTGGTGACCTCATCCCTACAGCATGGAGAAATACAGCCAGACCTGGTAGCAAAGAAAGGTGAAATAGAAATTAAATTCATGCATGCACGCACACAGCCAGGCAGATACAGACAGACAAACAGACAGACACCAGGTACACACACTCAGACACACACATACACACGCACTGACCTTGACAAAGAAGGCTATGACGCCAGCACGCTCCACGGCGGTCTTTGGCGTCAGCACTTTCGTAGTGGTCATTAGCGCCACACGATTGAACGCCTCAACCATGCGCATGATATTCGGTGCCCTCACCTCCTGTAAAGCAGACCAGAAAGCATGGATTGCAAAAGTTGTGACAACAGAACCAGAATTTAACAACCATCCCATGCATATAGCAACCACAAACAGGCTCTAAATACAGGTGGCCTTTCAACATAGGTAGGCAAGCAAATGCTGCAGTAGGCTACTCTGTGTACGTCATGTGTACGCACTGTTGGTGCATGCGCGTGTTGCCGTTGTGTGGAAAGTCCGTCATGGTCTTGAGCTCGTCATGTAACGCTGTGTTCCCGTCATCCCTTGGGCTGATCACTCTATCACATCAACTCAACTATACGCAACCTGGCAGGTACGGCCCGATACGGCGTAGCACTTATCACCGTGTACCGTATATCATAAAGTACAAATTTTCGTTTACAAAATCTTTCGTTAGATCACTCCACCAGCAGGTTCGCTATGTACTAAATTTCGTTTTTGGTCGAGGTCTGTCACTCCAAATGCTGAGAATTTTTTTAGTTTGGTACAAACTTTAGTTATTTCGTGCCCCCTACCGAATATAGCGAAAGTTAATTCAAAACGAAAACTTTGTACTTATACAGTGTGCAACAGAATAAAGAATACAAACAAACAAACAAACAAACAAACAATCATGTGCTACTGTACTTACGCCACAATCAGTACAGATCACAATGCGTAGGTGCTTCTGTAATCACTGTTTCGTATTTCTCGCTTCTTTGCCGTTGTGACTATTCGGAATGACCATCGGCTATACATGCACTACACGCAGAAGAGCGCATGCTCCAGTGGTTTTTGTCATTCGTTCTACACTTCTTTCAGTGCTATTCTTTCATATACTCCGTTATACTCATGAAGCTACAAGACTGCCCGATGAGATCGCCTTGGACAAGAATGGCTTGGCCAGAGCAGCTAACACTGGTGGCAGCGGAAATCTGTTGCCGTTTACATCGCTAGCGGAGACTCATAGCACTTACCCTGTCTGATGCCATCCACGCACAATTTTCGAGCTCTTCCGCTCGGATCTGCCTCAGTAGCTCGGAGTCGATCAGCGTCAATTCCTCGGCAATGTGGCGAACGTCCAGCTGCAGGATGTCGCGAAACAGCGGTAGAATCGGTGCAGGTGCAGGCTCCACGCACAGAGGTTCCTCGTTCACTGGACATTGTTCGTAGAGCAACTCCACAGCAGCTCCCTTTCCTTTCTTCGCCTTCTTGTCACGTGTCAGTGTCGTTGTTTTATTCTTGTGAAAAGTAGGCAAAGTCAGAGACTTGGACTTTGTGGCGGCTAGTTGAGTTGGAGAGGTTGCCACTGCCGGAGATGACTTTGCGCTGTCCATGGCAGCATGCGCGGCCAGGCGATTACGCCGTCCGGCCAGCTTTCGGCGTTGCGGCGAAGCACTCTGTCGCAGCACGGCGTCTTGCTGCGCGATCCTGATGCTGGGCCGGTCGGGCAGAGAGTTGCTTCTCTCCGTCCGAGCCTCCTCCAGCCACATCGGAGAGCCTGGGCGCGACGACCAGGACTTTCTGGCAGCGCTCGGTCGGGTCGATGGCACGTCCAAACTGTTGTTGGCCGACGCATTCGGAGAACTCGTCTGCGATAGACTGATTCGCTGTAAGCCGCACGGTGGCGTGTAGGGAGCGGTGTCGGGCGTAGCCGGTAGTAATCTGCGGTGACGAGACGGCTGCTGCTCGTTACCCTGGTCAACTGTGCCCGTTGCTGCTAAATCATCCCCTGGTGTTGGCGATCCACTGGTCGATGATGGCATACTGGTAGCAGACTGTCGGCCACGGTTCCCTGCAGCTAAGCGCGTTCTGTACAGATTACTGTGGCTGGACTGTGGGGTTATGGGCACTCTACGATCGGCACGCATCAACTCACCACTTGCCCCCTCCCCTGGCGGCGTGGTCTCGTTCCGCACCACTGCAGGAAGAGGCGTTCGCGGCGTGTCCGAATGATTGGCAACCTCACGTCCACCATCAACGCTGGGAGGTTTCTGTGATGTTTGCATGATGCGACTGGCCCCCTTCCTGACATCGTCATCTGAGGACGAAGTCGAGGAGCGTTGTCGAAGTGGTCGCCGTGGCGTCTGTACAAAGTAGTGCTGCGCGCTTACCCACTGCTTTCCACGTGGAGATGAAAGTGGCGGAGACACGTCTGCTATCGGCGGTGTGTCAGCTGACGGCACGTCTACTACTGGCGGTGTGTCAGCTGACGGCACATTGCGTATTGGAGGTGCGCTGACTGACCGCACGTCTGGTATCGGCGGCGTTTCTCGCGCTACTAACGTCGACGGTGATTGGTCGGCGTCATGGCGACTGGGAGTGCTGTGCTGCACGGGCTCGCCGTGCAGTGATCTCTGCATGAACCTGTCGAGCTGCACCGTCTTTGCCTTTGCTTGGCCTTGTCGACGAGGTGAGGACTGTGATGGCGACGGCGACGAAGCTACCGCAGCCTCCATATCGCCGCTACTCGACGACGCGGCTTGCGCCGCTGCTTTCTTCTTCGGCGTGACAGGCTTTGCGAGCGGCGAGCTGGGTCTGGGGGTGAAGAGTTGCTTGAGCGCCTTGAACGGCTTCTTGTGCGTCTTCTCCGGCAGCATTTGAGGATCGGTGGCGCACAGGTAGCTCTGGCGTTTCGACGCATCCCGCACTTGCAGTTTGTCCGCGGACTTCCTGGCAACAAAGCCCGAGCTCTTCGACGGTGGCGACGTGTTTAGGAGATCTCCGGGCACATCGTCATTCTCGACTGCATCGTCGAACTTCGCCTTGCTCTTGCGTCTTAGCACGGAGCGACCCCACTCCGGCAGGATTGCACTGGTGCGTTTCTGTTCGCCGCTACCACTAGTTTTCGCAGGTCGAGTTGTCACGGCTGCTGTTGCTGATCCTACTGCCACGTCTTGGCCGATAGTGGCCTGATCGTGTCTGCCGTCTGCATCGCCCGGCTGTACTGGTAGCATGGCGGGCGTGGGACTGGAGCGGCTCACGGCCATGTGACGGCGCACGGTCTCGCTGCGTCGCAGGACGTCGTCGCGGCGGAACAGACCGGCCTTGGCTACCGCCGCCACACGCGAGCGCTGTGACTGCGACCTGGGCCGGTCGCGACCGAACACGTTGGCGCCTTCCGTCCAGCGCCTAGGCCTGCGCTCCGCAGGTGTCGCCGTCGCAGCTGCGTGCTCGCTCTCCGGCCAGAGGCCCGCGGACTTCTCCGGCGACTTGTTCGGGTCGCCTAGGCTCAGGTCATCGGCGTAGGCGTGCTCGTCCGGCTCACTGTGATCGTCCCCGTTCACCGGGCTAATGGCGCTGATGTCCAACGCTTGCTCGTGTTCGTGTTGCTCAAGCATGTGCTCTATATTACTTGCGGACTGTTCAGCATTCAAGCGATCAGCAGTGAGCAAGGCAATACGGGCGTTCAGACCTGGCTCATCTCTCAGCAGACTCCTGAGTTTGTCACCATACTCGGCGTCTTCCTCCTCCTCTTCTTCTTCATCGTCATCCTCGTCCTCGTTCTCCGTCACTGTGTCGCTACAATCCTCCCAATCGTCGTCGTCGCCATCACCCAACGCTAAGCTCCCACGCCAGCCAGCAGTGCCGTTGCGGCCCTGGTGGCGTACGTAGACGACGCTCTCAGCGTCGGAGCCGCTACGAGAGCAAGACGAGTCCGTCGCTCCGTCCTCGCCAGGGTCATCGTCGTCGTCATCGTCCAGCCGTAGTTCGTGCATTGACAGGTGATCCAGCATCATTCGACTGTAACTCGATGCCATCTCCAGAACACTGCTTGTCGTGCTCCAGTATTTCTCTGGAAACGCGCCGGAGGAACTATTTCCACCCAGTGCCATTTCCGACGACACCAAGCTGGAGCTTCCCACAAAGGAGTTGGAGCGATCCTTCGACTCAAGGCGACGCCTGTAGCCGTCGCGAAGAACGCCTGAAAACGACATAATTATTATCTCTTGTTCGTGCTGCCGTTGCTCCAGGCACAGGGCACTACTATGGAACACGTCCACTATTGCAGCAGGTTCACCGAGAAGCAACAAGACTTCCGTCTTTCTTAATACTAGGCAAAATCCATGATCAGCAGCACATAGCTAGCGACCATCACCAGAGGAATGCAAGGAGCAGCGCTCGCACCAGTCAAATATCTGTCGCTAGCGCCCGAGCGATGTGCATGTGGGAGTTTGGTTCCAATCGAACCACGACAACGCAGCACAAACGCAATCGCGTCTAGATGCTCACACAAGGACAAATGCTTAGAACTCCGATGCTGCACGCGTTTGCATAATGAAGCGTGCGACAGGTAGCAGAGTGAGCCAGATCCTCCAAGCCTGCAGCTAGCCTAGGACTCAGTGCTAGGAGTTGCTCTAAACAGCGCAGCTCACACACGCCAGTAGTTCCGTTCCGTCACTTTTTCGACCTGACGAGAACTTTCACCTCCGCTGCCAGGTGATCTACTGCTGCACATATGCACACAGTACACAGTCAGTACACTGAAGACCCGACGGAAAAGTAGCATTGCAAGTGCATGGATATCGGCGAAGGAACGCTATCTAGCGCGCTTGTGGCTCAAGTCGTGACGCATTGGACACGTTATTTCAGGGCTTGCACGCACTGATCTCTAGTATAGTAGTACTAGTATGTGGCACTACCAGTCTTTACCACCGCCACCGGCTGCTGTTGAGTGGTGTTGCAGCTCGACGTCGATCATCCCTCAGCCTGGTATGCTGCGCTGACTCCGCGCAGTGCGCTAGCGTATAGCGGCATTCATACCAACGGATCCGTGCGGTGCGGTACACGTAACGCAGACCAGTCATAATCGAGTGAGTGGTACTGCGCTACTGCCCCCTACCATGCCTACTGTACCAGTACTCATGGTACTGGGCCCATGCCATTCCGGGTAGATCTACATGCATGGTACTTGGTAGACCTACGATTCGTACATCTCTACACGCGCGCGATGAGTAGATCCAGCGATCGACGACAATCTACAGACTACACAGTCTACAGTCAGTAGATCTACACTAATACTACTACTCTGTGCAGGGCCCCGGGGTGATTGCGAGGGTGATATTCACAGTTTTAGGTTGTATCCCATTCAAAGCTCTCGACCTCAGCTCCAATCCGATGTGTGTCCTACTGTACCGCTGACCTCGGCTCCGTGTCGTGTGTCGTGTGCCCGTTATGATATCTGCCTGTCACTTGGGTATCTTGTACGCAGCTAAAACGTGGCTACCCCTACACGGCTACATACATTTCAAGCATGTCGATCTACACTACAGTGTCAGTACCACTCTACATGTACACCGCTATCATTCTCATCATGTATCACTGTCAGGGATACGTAGATCTACGATTGCCTTGTTCGAATGTAACAGGATCTTTGCAACTGTGTAAGATACATTGTATGCCATAAACACAGTAAAGTGAGTAAACTAATTAGGGGTCGTCCATAAATATCGAACTTTTTTCACAAAACGAAATAATTTCGTTATGGGGTGGGAGGGGGTTGACCAATTTCGTTTCAGAAAACATTGATTCATGTACATGGCCGTTGTATATGCATGTATGTCAACATTTTTTACGTTCTGAGGGGGAGGGGGGAGGGGTTGGGTCTAAACTACATGTAAAATAATTCGTTTGGAGAAAAAAGTTCGATATTTACGGACGGCCCCTTACTGACTTCTCCATTCCCCAGAAATGAGTGTGCGCATGTAAATGTACAGTCATGTACATGTAACTATGTAATTACTTTTTACTTAAATTAATTAGTTACTACTAAAATGGCAATAGATAAGATAAATTGTGCACTCATAACAACAGCAAAAATGAAGAAAGTCAAGTTCCATAACGTTTTCTTGTGACTGTCATCAGTGGAACGCCGTCACTTGAAAACAGAGCAGAACCGAGGAGAAGCAAGAGACTAGCAGAGGCACGACTGAGACAAGTGGAGAACACAAGGCAAGGAGACGCAGGAGGAAGCACCGGCACGGCACAGAACGAATCAAGGAGAGGGAAGCGGTGTCGCGAGGAGATGGAGACTGATGACGACGAATACGAGTGCGATGGGATGGACGGCGGCATTGGAATGGAGGTGGAGGATGAGAGTAGTGATGAGGAGGAGTTTGACGTTGACAAGAGCAAGTCCGCAATGTACAAGCATTTGGTGTCCAGTCCAGAATGTCGTAAGGTGTTTGACGATTCCTGGTTTTGTGTTATTCGTTGCGCACGTTTCTTCAAACAATTGCAGGTGTTGGAAGCTGTGTATATTCGTACTCGTGACCCTGTGCTATGTAAACAGAAAGAAAACGTTGTATCACTCACACTCTTCAAGTAACACACACGCACCATTACATTCATTCACACAGTATCACATTCATCTGCCACTACCTTTCTCACATACACTATATTCACACATTGCAAAGGTGCAAACTTCGCTTTTTGTACTTGTTAGCTGCTGTATTTCTACCTGAAACCATATTAGCTACATGTACATGTATATACATGTAAGTGTGTGTTTTAGTTATTACATTTTTATGTGACGGCGTTCCACTGATGACAGTCACAAGAAAACGTTATGGAACTTGACTTCATTTTTTGCTGTTGTTATGAGTGCACAATTTATCTTATTTATTGCCATTTTACGACTATTGTCTCCTCGTCGATTGTTTAGTTACTACTAAATAATTAATTGACGCTTACTTCATGGTTTCAAGCGATTGGCCCAATTGGTGTTGTGAATAACACCGTTCTCTACTACTACATTGTAAATTGACAATCAAGTCATTGTAAATTGTACATGATGTACATGTACATTGTATAATCCTAACACTGACTATACCCGATTCATGTTGCTAGTATCAGGAGTATAATAATACATGTACTCTTGCTAGTAGCACATGTGTAATGATGTGTTTCCTTGAAGGTACGTGTTACTTCTAGTTCTAGTATTCTCTTATAGTACTTCTGAAGTAACTGGTGGTGTTAGTGGACATGATAGCGTAACTTGTACAAGTATTAGTTACGCTATCATGTCCACTAACACCACCAGTTACTTCAGAAGTACTTGACAATCAGCGCATGCATAATTGCCCGACACTGACCGACGGTACTGACATTCTACAACTACTGTATACTACACATAATTGTAGTAACTGGCAATCAGCTCCAGCACGTCTTGGATGCGCACTCCAACACTCAACAGCCTTCCAACTATAACTGAAGGTTCTGTATTCTTGTCAACATCATTCTTACATTGTATGAGTTATGACTTACATGTACACTTTGTACACTTATGTACATGTACATGTATGTATGGCTGTGAGTGTGACTTCAATCTTTGCCAACTGCATACGTTATGCACGTACAATGTACATGACTTGTACAGATGTACATGTACAATGTACGTGTACATGTACATGTACATTATACGTGTAGCCACACGTTTTCAGAACTCCCCTAGCCCTTGGCCCTCAGGGGGAAATGGTGAAGATATCATGCCCAAGTTTTCTCTTGTTTCCTAATCCCCGTACCCCGGATAGACCACTTGTCTAGTTTTAGTTTCAGTCTGTTCAGCCTTGAAAGGCCGAACAGCCTGAACTGAAGGTTGACGTTCTGTATCGTGTGTATGAAGTAAATTGTGCCGGCCCTGTTTGTCGCCAAGCAAATGGTCAACCTATTATTTTTACGTGTAGTTTGGGGAAAACTAAGAAATTGCCAACTATCACCGCGCTTGAGGAGTTTGATGCCGCGTGACGTAATCGTTGAAAACATGTACAGTAGATATCTACATGATTATGTGCATGATTGTCATGCTATAATAAGGTTTATCTAATAGTAATAGTAATGCTACTAATACTAGTATTGTACTAGTATTGGGCTATAAATAATTATTAATGATTGTAAATCATGTACAATACTCAATAGTACTACACATGTGCGTCTAGTCTGCTACTACTACTACTACTACTAGTGCTAGGTCAGTGGCAAGTGTCAGTGGCACTGACTAGCAGGTATGTGGTACATACTGCACTACATGTACATGTACATAGTCGAGTCATCGAAGGCCGCCACTTGCATATTCATGGTGTCAGATACATGTACATGTTTGTACTGCGTTGCGTTTGCGCTACCTGCAACGTTACGTTAACGACGTGGCTCTTCCACGCCTACGCTACGATTCGAAGTGCAAAACCCACACGCTCAGCCTCACTCTTGACGTCTTGCACTTGAACTTTCCTTAGTCAGTTGGTTGGAGGCAAACAGAGTCTGACAGTCTTTCAAGGACTTAGCTGTGTCAGCATGCTTCAGCGCTGCACATGCACACCCAGCCACGCATACACACTGTTATAATAATAACAATAATAATAGTTACAGTTCGCAGTCACTCATGGAAGGATCCGATCTGTCCATGAAATCCAGGTAGAAGAGCCAACAAAAGGCATCTCAATATTGTAAGAACGTATCGCAGTAAGAATAACTACGCATCCGCAGCACATTTCTCCACAAGCATCAGCCATTTTGTCTTGTCTAGATAGAGCCAGTTCAAACCACGGTCATGACACTTCTTAATGTTAGCACACCGATTGGATCACGTCTTGGAGCCCTTGCACGAGCGTCGCGACTGAGAAGCTTTCTCTAGACTACAGCTAATGTCAACAATGTCAATGGTCAATGCTTATGGTACTCAACATACATGTACATGTACATGACTGTAAACTTCGAATACACAATGCTTCGAATACATACATGACTGTACATGTAATTACAAGTACTGTAGAGGCAGAAAATTTCGTCGGTCAATAATTTCGTCCAACTCCAAAGAAAAGGAGTTCGTCCGGTTGAAAATTTCGTCCATGGATCATAAGAGTGTATAGAAAAGCTGGACCAATCGATATTCGTCCTACATTTAATTTAGTCCAAAAGCTCCTTGGACGAAAAAGACGAAATTAAATTCCAGACGAATATTTCTGCTTGTACTTAGTACTACAAGTAACGACTGAGGAAGAGATCTGATCCATTACTGAGCATTAGTTTGCGGGAGTCGTAGACGGGAAAAATTCAATTTTCTTTGTTAAATAAAATGGAATTGAAGAGTCGACTGTACTAGTCCTCGACAGTGATCGTTTCGATCGTTTCTACAGAAACACTCATCACAGTTCTCCAGAAATAGAAGCAGCCACATGTACATTTTACATTGTACTGATGTAGTTCGCGTTGGGTAGCAGCATTCCTACCACTAGTAGTACCAGTATTAGCAGTAAGTTGGTGAAATGATACGTGAAACAGCGTCTTTGTACATTTGAAGTGCTCTAGCTCTATCCACCAGTACTACTACTAGTACATGTACTGGCGGTAGACTAAAAAGTCCAAAACTGATGTGAAGCGATTGCAGGTGCTCGTAGCGCCGCCGCGCGCACAGGGCACAGGTAATCGCTGCTCTTGCTGTGCACTGAAGTGTGATAGGAA